CATTTCTCCTGATTTCTACGTTTTCACCCCCTCCTCTAAGGATATAAGAGCAACTTTTTTCATGTTTATTTACAGATCGAGAATTCGTACGACTGTTTAGGATTCGAGTATTGTCGCAAATTGATTTCAAGATATTTCTTAAGTTTCAATGCTGGTGGACTGCAAGCTTTCCGTCCTTCTCCTTCTTCTTTGGCATGCGAGTATCTTCAGTTGTGGTGCGATGCATCGTTTCGAATACTGGAACCATCACTCATTCAGATGGAGCAGGACCACGGCTTGGGTCCGTATCTTATTTGAAACTAAACCTACAATCGCGGAGCCTTTGAACATTGCCTTTCTTCGCACCCCTCATCCCACTGGGCTTCATTTCCTTTCGTTCCAGTTCTAGCATCCTGGCTACTTCTGGGGCCTCAATTCCTGTTAAGACGTTATCACTGAACATGGACGAGCTGACATTTTCTGCCGTCACAAGTCGTTCCTGCTCATCGAAGAGAGTTTCGTGCAGGAGGTGTGACCTCTTTCCTGAAAAATACGTGTTTCGATGCACGGCATGACTTGTACACTTGAATCCAAAGCACAAATAGGCAGTATGAGCTAATACAATCACATCCTGCACGATACATTCACCTCTTGGCGATCTTGAGCCGCTATGCTCTTCGTTCTGTGTCGCCGTCTCCTCCAGATCTTCGCTAGGGCTGATGACAATCTGTGCAGTTGACGTAACCGTTGGAGGAGTGGGAATGCACTGGAAATAAACGGATGCAGAGTTTGGCGTCGTGACGTTCTCGTCTTCCATCATAGCACCAGCCCAGTGAGCAATGAGAAATGAACCTAACCTCTAGAGTGAAGTTCTTTTATACTCAGCTATCGGTGATATCTTTTTCATTGTTGTCTCTTTTAGCGCAAACAAAACAATTACAGTAACACAAAAAATCTTGTAACAAGCTTCGAATTGGTGTTTTCGACCTTATTAACTTATTAAACCTTCTTCAAACCAACAATATCAGGGACCGGCCAAGCACGTTGCAGCTAAGGAATCCTAGCCCTGCGGGAGGGTGATACAGGGTTGCTGGAGGAATAGAGAGGGACGTTACGGAGGAGGGAATAGGGGGAGGGGGTTTGTTATTTCTGACTAGAAGGCAAAGCCCGCGATCATTCGCCATCACAGTCAGTGGACTAGGGGTTAGCACATAGACGACGAGGTGATAAGTAACTAGATAGTGAAGAAAAAAAAAGCAGAAAAAACATGCCAACTGCCCTGGATAGAACCCCATTTCAATCCTAGATTGTACGTGCCCAGTTGACTCCATCTTCCAGCACAACGCCCTCACCCGCTCAGCCTATTCCCTGAATAAAAAACCCCACGATCATACAACTGACGATTTTCATGCTTTTCCGTCCTGCAGCTTCGTTGTTCATTGAAAGGCGGGCCTTAAAGACGGAGTCTGGGGGCGAGTCACTGAAAAAAGGAGGCGTCACTGAACCTCTGTTGCTCTATAGCACCCCTTCCTTACAATTTTTTCGCCGCGAAACAGGTACGAGGTGTTCGTCGCGAACCACCTTACCTCTTCCAACGCTATATTTTCAGCTTCTCAAACCCTGATCGCGACCTGTGCCTTCAGTTGTCTTCTAGCTTTAAAACGGTACCCAAACCACGCCCCCCTGAAAGGGGTGTATTAGCCAACAGAATCGCCGGTGCAGCTGGTCGGTTGACCTTGGCCTGCGACATATTTGCGGCGAGAAGACTATCATACCTCTAGCCGTTTGAATAGGGATATTGAAGGGACGATAAATATTGATGTCACCTAGGATCGAGTCTTGTGTTTACTTACGGTTAAGTTTTGGGTTTTTTCTTCTTTTTTTCCACATACGCATGAAAAAGTTCATTAGAGCATGAACTTGATTAGGCTCTTCAACATTCGCTCTGGTGTGTCATTTATTACAGCAGCTCACAGGAAAAGCTTGACCATTCATCTATTGAATGTTGACGCTGACGACTGCGCGAATCATGTGAACCACATAAGCATACGGAGAATAACTGCCTTATTTGATTTCTTCTGTATTTGCTTGTATCCGAAGTTGCATCTATGGATCCGTTAGACAATTGTGTGTTACTATCAAGAGAAACATCGTTAGATTTTCAATTATTGATGAAATCTGTAAACGTTGCGGATGTACGCTGTAGTAAATCATTTGCTCCAGTCGCAAAGCTATCGGCTAGCAAATGCACGTGAGCTGCTGAGTCATTCGCCGCGCGACGCGCCGCGTGCCGCGGGCGCTGCCCCGGACGATTCTGTTGCACGTCTCCCCCTGAAAGGATACCGACCTTCACAACGGCCCCATGAACACTGCCTAAACCAATTCACATTCAAAAGCTCCTACGATTCTTAATGGAAGTGGAATGCCTGCAACATCCTCAAAGGTGATTAATCAACGTGAAAGCCTAGAGGCAGCGTCCGCGATCAACCAAGGTGAAAAAAATCCTGCACTGTACAAGATCGCGGAGTCCGCAACCACAGCGGATATCCCACTCTTGCGGCTCGAAATCGATTGATTGACGAAGGCGGAGTCAACAATGCTAAGCTGACCCCGCCTCGATTGGTTAAACCTTATCAATCCTCGCTGGCATTGATAATCGCTAAATTTCTAGCGTTCGTTTCGTACACTGATAGAGAGATTAACTCATAGACAGATCGATTATCAATGCCAGCGAGGATTAATTAGATTAGATAAGATAACCTATTTCTCCGCCACAGTAGACCACCCTGTTGAGCGCCGCCCGAACCCGGTAATCGAGGGGATCCAGGTCAGGAGACACACTTGGAT